ATTATTTGTGATCACGTGGCCTGGCAGAAAGTTCATGCTCATACCGATTCCTGATGAAAAAAACAGTATTCATTAATCAGAACAAGATGATTATTTAATAAGTTATTAATTCTAATAATAAATAACAAGAGTTAATACGGTAGAAAAAAAAACGTACGAAACAAATATAGGGTAGTACATGACTTGACAAGAAAAAAAATATGGTAGTAGGTAAAATAAAAGAAAATGTGCAGTCCGACCAGACTCTATACTGTTGGGCGACTTACTTAATTTTTTATTTTGATATCCCACTAATTGATAATGATCAGTCCAATAAATTGAATTCAGCTGGCTAATGCTTACTTTCAAGGCATCTATAGGTGATTAGCCATGATATATCTGATAATATACTGATAGTAAATTGGTTGCTTATTTGACACTGATTTTAATTTTTGGGATATATGAAATCTACAATGGCAGTTCGTTGAAAAGAATTTATAAAATCATATCTGTGATCGTATGTTCCAATAAAAAGGCAAATAGTCCTCAATCCTTTAAACAGTTTCTAATGTCCAATTCATGGAATAAAATTCATAAACTAAAAGTCTCACAAAAGCTGAAAATATATTTTTTTTGTATCTTTAATTTCTTTATCGAAATACATGATTAAAAGTTGCCTGTAATGGAACTCCTTCTTCGCATTTTATACTGAAATTTTAAGAAATGTTTCAATTATCTTAAGATTTATAAATCAAAGTGAGATATTACTCCTATATACAAACAAGAATTCAAGCATGTAAGTAAATATCTCGCTTTAGATGTTTCTGAAACAAATACAGAAGGTGAACATAGAAGCCAGTTTATCTTTGTCGCACTAATCAATGAAAAGAGAATATTTGGAGATGGTCGTTTAGACATTTACATGTATATGACTATATAAAAAGTTTTACGCCAAAATTTGTTTGCACGTTTCTAGGACGGTGACATAAAAATTATATGCATATTAGATTACATGCATTTTCTGTTGCATGATATTTATACATGTTTGATTTCAACTTTATATTAAACCTTTACCTGCATGCTAAAGAATGTCATTACCTTTACCACTAGTGCAGGGACAGACCAGGTTGCACATCCGTTCAGTCAAACCAGGCGCCCTATTGATATTGAAATCACGGCAAATCCATAATACAACTTCAACATGTTCAGGGTTAAATTCTACATCACAGACATTTTACCAATTTTTTCATACCACTTTAGCTGTTCTCCAAGTACTTACAACCAATATATTATTTACTGACCATTGGTATGATCGTATATAAACATTGCATGAGTCAATGAATCACAGAATGTTGGTTCCGTACTGTAGAGCTGTAAACTTGATAAAAGTCATATTTGGTGAATCAAACCTGTGAAAAAATGCATATACATATGTGACCAAAAAAAAAAAACTAAAACAAAGACAACAAAACTTGTATTTTAATCGTTATAAAGATGGCCATGATAAAAAACATAGTTATATGCTGTACTCATGGCAAATAAAAAGTAACTTACAATATAACAAAATCGGATATCTATAATTACAGAAATCAATTACTTGTAGTTATAAATATATCAGGTTTTGAAATTTATCTAGCACTTTCATCCTTTTTTTCTTATATTTATTACATAAAAGCGTAATTGCATTATCACTTATTGATCACCCTTAAAAATATTTCATTAATAACTTATCACAAAAACATTGTAGGAATCGACAAATTTTATAAAACAAGTCGTTTTTATTTTGTACTGGAATATTGCAGTGGGTGGATTATAAATTTTGCCATTTCCTACATATTTACGTGTTTTTACCATTACAATAAACATACCCAATATAACTCCAAATGTGATCATGAACACAGCTATATTGTTTGACAATGATGCTAAAACCAATCCAAGACCACCTATACAACTGCCTGCAAAACACACTGGGCGACTTCCATACTTCATGCTCATTCTACCCACCGCAGGGCCTGCAAAATAATGAATAGACAAAAAGTTCGGAATCTTCAGAGGATTCAAGATAAGGCGCAGGACATGCATTATGTAAGATATAAAAAAAAAGTCGGGACACGCATGATGAACTGAAAATTTTCGGATATGCATAACGTTGAACAGACAAATTCCGGACATGCATCACGTTGAACGAAAAATTCGGGACATTCATAACGTTAAATAGAAAAAAAATCCGGTTATGCATAACGTTGAATAGAAAAAAATATGGGATATGCATTACGTTGGATAGAAAAATACGGGACATGCATTACGTTGAAAAAAAATAGAAAAATACGGGACATGCATTGCGTTGAATAGAAAAATACGGGACATGCATTTTACGTTGAATAGAAAAATACGGGACATGCCATTACGTTGAATGGAAAAATACGGACATTGCATTATGTTGGAATAGAAAAATACGCGGACATTGCATTATGTGAATAGAAAATACGGGACATGCATTACGTTGAATAGAAAAATATGGGATATGCATTACATTTGTACGTTGAATAGAAAAATACGGGACATGCATTATGTTGAATAGAAAAATACGGGACATGCATTACGTTGAATAGAAAAATATGGGATATGCATTACGTTGAATAGAAAAATATGGGATATGCATTACATTTGTACGTTGAATAGAAAAATACGGGACATGCATTACGTTGAATAGAAAAATACGTTGAATAGAAAAATATGGGATATGCATTACGTTGAATAGAAAAATACGGAACATTAGAAAACTTCGGGACATGCATTACATTGAATAAAAAACTTCGGGACATACATTAGGTTGAATAGAAAAGTGCAGAGCATGCATTACGTTAAATAGGAAAATGCAGAACATGCATTTCGTGGAACACATGGGATCAATACTTCGTTTTAAAGTTAATAGCTTTAATAAATACTGTTCGCTTATTTAACATATACATGTATAATCAAACAGCAATTAAATGCGAAACGGAAGCTTTGTGATAAAAGCAAATATAGCCTATACATTTTTGAAGTTGCGTTAGTGCAAATGTTAGTTGAGGAGTTGATACGCTTAATGATAGTTTTGATATCATTATAGAAATTCAAGGTAACACGAAACACATGTTAAAGGATATACAATGTATTTCGGAAATGAAAAACTATTTAATTTATATAGGTAATAATTTCCATTTGATGGGTCAGGTTAAAGTATAAGTCACATTAGGTAATTTTACATTTTATCCTTCCCGGACTCTTACTCCCCATCCCTAGGACATTGTTAATTTGTCAAAATCCCTAAAGTAGAGGATGCTTTACATTTGAAAGGAACGTACGCTTCTCGCGGAAAAGGGATTCCGTTTCTATTTCCAAGGACATGGGATTGGTCAGTTCCCACAAGTGGCCCCGAACTCTATAAGACAGTTACTTTTTTGTAATGGTAATATTACACAATGAATGAATGAATCAATCAATCACTCAAGCAAGCAAGCAATCAAGCAATCAATTAATCAATTAAAGAAAAAAAAACAATCAACAAACAACCGAACAAAAACGTATGAATGAATGAATGAATGAATGAATGAATGAATGAATGAATGAATGAATGAATGAATGAATGAATGAACGAACGAACGCTTATTTGTTATTAAAATTACAATTTGCTTCAAATGAATGAATGAATGAATGAAATTTAATTTACAATAAAAAAATAGCGAGTATTCCGACGTCTCAATTAAAGCGCATGAGCATTGTATAAACATATAATCAGTGGCAAATCGCACTTTCATTTAAATCATAACAATATGAAAATTCCGTATAGGCTTCAAGAAAATAATATAAATGTTATTCTCTTTTGCTGAATTATGCAATGATTAATTTGTCAGTTTGATGCATGTACATAGCTTCTCTTTATATATTTCCTGATGACTCATTCTGTGTTGAAATTAGCAATAAAACATGCATAATATACGATAAACATAGTGGTAAAAAACTTTTAAAATATGGAGTCAAACTAGTTCAATTCTACTTCAATAGATGGCTATCGAATGACTTGATATGAAATGATCAACGTTATATTTTTATCAGCGTATTGGTTTAAGTAAATATCAAACTGCTTAGCTTAAACCAATTACCTATTAGACGTATCAATGCATGTATTAAGACAAAAAATAATCATGTATTAATAATGGCGATTTATATTGCGAATATTTATTATTATTTCCTAAATTAGTAAATTACATATAGTATTGAAGGAAACATTTCTCACATTATATCGAAAGAAATCAACTAAATACGCTCGTATCTTGTTCATACATTATTAAAATGATATCGATTCCGATAGCTTGCATGCAATGATTTAATTTTTAAAAAAACAATTCTTTCTGGCAAACTTACATTTTTTGATAACTGATTTTTAGTTCAATGGAGAGCTTGCTGATTATTTGAACCACATACTAGGTCCATCTGTAAAACCTATACTGTATATATACTACACAGAAAAAAACTGACATTATCGAGACCCTAATAGGGCTCAAACCCACGAATTCTTGGTTCAGAGGCACAAAATCAATATCATATTTTTCTTTAAATAAAGATATACTTACTTGAAATCATATGTACGGCTGGTAAAAGCGAACCAGCCATGGAGGTCACAACTGGTCCCGAGTTGAATGTTCTCATTATCTCCGGGTAGAATATCCCGTACGAGCCTATACATCCATCCATGAGGCAGTTCCCTGTAAAAACCGCAAACACGATCACCCAACCCCACCCACCATCAGGTGCGGAGGAATCATTTTCTCGCGTTTTTACAGCTTTTATCAGCTTCTCTAACCTTTTTCCATGTCAATTAACAAATAATCAGAGGTCCACAGACGCTTAATATCCGTTTTCATTATGTAGCAAACAGATACAATACATGTAGAAATATGATCCTTCATTTTTCTCCACTTAAACACAGTCGTATTTATTTTCCTTTATACACTTTCTTACATTCGCGTGTATTTTCACATTGTTATGAGGAACGGCCAGCGAACAACTTGCTTCAGCATAGCGATCAATAAAGTCATTGATCGTTCATGTACAAGCTATTTTTATAATGGCAGTATTGCAATAATCAATTATAGTACACAATATTTTTCACTGCAATGTCATATGTACACGAGTAATAACCCTTTTTAATAAATTAATAAACCTACTGACATTGTTTTATACGGATACTGTAAGTTTTAAAATACATAATATTTATAGCAGTATAACTGGTCGTGGACTTGACGCAACTTTTGAAGTATTCATTTCTTTTTAATACATGATCTAACTTTATTAATTACCAATCAAAGTCATGTTGTTACGGACCTCGCTACATATTATTCTAAACGGTCATGAACTTATTCGAAAAATAAAATTACAATACATTAACTCATTATGCAATTATTTTAATTAATACATGTATTTAGATCACATTTCAGTAGTACAATGTTATTGACAGTTTAGCTATATCTTCAGGTTATTTTTCAAATATCACAATTTTCGTACCACTTTTACTCGTTAATTGAATATTCATGCAAACACAGGTTAGAAATAAGTTTTAAAATATATTGAGGATGAACGTCAATTTTACAAAATGGGAATCATTGTTTTATATGAGTACTTGCAATCAATTAAATTTTAAGAATCAATTCCAAAAGTAAAAGTTTACGGACGGATGGAGGCCAGACGAAGTGATCACAAAAGCTCACCATGTCACAGGTGAGCTACAATAAAACATGAAAAACAGTTGCATTAGGTGATGCTACACACAAAATACCTCACATTCGGGCATTGCACTATCGGAGATTTTAAAGATTGCACTTGGAATGTTTTTAGCTTCTGTGACTCAGATATGCTCTGCCCAAGACCCATTGGAACATCTTTGCAAGAGCTTTATGCAAGGAATATTCCAGGCATTCTTAATCAAAATTGGTCAAGTGGTTACAGAGGTGTAATTTGGACAAACAATAGGCAGCCAATTATTCTATATAAGCTCAGCACCAGTACCATGTGCCTTTTTTTGCCCAGGTAAGCTTAAAGTAGGTAGCATGTACAACTGGAAAGCTTTGCTTCCACCTTTAACTTTGTGTCAAGAACAAAATAGAGGAAACATTTTCAAATACATTGTATACTTTTATGAACATACATATTTGTCTCCCTTTATACACTGACAACTCAAGTCACTTAACATTTTATCAATTTTATTATATACACAATTATATCATAAATTATAATAAACAAAGCGTTAATCACTACATTCTACTGTTACAACATAAAATTTGTCTACCATACATACGACATTAAAATCTGATTTCACTTTCATTACCAAAATGAATAATTTACAGTATTTTCCATTGTTTTGTTGTTAAGTATTTAAATATAACCCAAACAGATATATCTATATTTGCAATAATTATGTCAAGTGTTTTCAGCCAGTTGACTATTTTTCAGTGACAAACTGTTCTTAAAAATCAAGAAAAAAAAATGTAATTAAGATATCTAAATGCAGTAATGTATTTCTTTGAAGAAAAAACAACCTAAAACAAATGTCCAAAAACAACAGATTAAGACTGGAGGTTTAATTTCTTACAAAAGCATTAATTTATAACTGGTAAAATGTATTCATAAGAATACTGTAACCAAGCAACCTTATGCATAATATTTAGTATATGTAGTTTGAAAAACATCCTACAATGGCTATAAATACAAACTTCATCTAAATGTGATATTTTTGATGTGGAGTTTTCTAAGAACAAATTTTCATTTGCTGATTTTACAATGTGTATTTTCTGAGCTACAAAAGACCTTAAAGTGTATATAGCTATATTTTTCTGTAACATTTTATTATAATTACGTATCATAATCATGTGTGTTAAATAATAGAGACATTCTATGTTACAACTCTTTCGTGTATCAACCATAAGATTATGGAACCAATATAATTTTACTGTTGATAAATTCTTTTAAAAATATTTCATAACATATAAACACTTTAATCAGCATCTTAAAATCCAAATATTTTCCAAAAAAAAAATAAGAATAAATAAAGGTAAATTATGGTTGAAAGCTTTTTTTATCAGTATACCTGCCTACATGTTAATACCAAAAATCAGTAAGTCAGTAATTTTTCTTTAATTTTCACAATCATACTAAACAAAGAAAACTTCAAAAAACGACAGATTATTAACCAACAAATTGTACAAGCAAGTTCATGAAAGCATACCTAAAATTAATAGTTGTCAAACACATTTTTTTAAAAACAAAATTGTGAGCACAAACAAAATTATGAAATAAATGCAAAATGTTTGCAGGAAGCAATAAGTCACACTAACTAAGAAAATACCAAGCTAAGTGCTATACAATAATTATATTACTACAGTTGACAAAATGTATTCATAAAAACATAAATAATTATAGCATGTCATTAAAAACATCTTTAGCTAAATTTCTATTACTAAGTTACGTTGTTTGCTCATGTTTGTGTAGAACATACTATTCTTGTTATTGAAACATACAGATATACATCTTAATTTTAAACTTTTTTTAAAAATTTATTTTGAACTGATGATGGCATGTCTTAAATTGTCAAGGGCTTTTCAACCACAGATGGCAAGGTGAGCTTATAACATAAGCTGATGTGTAGAGGAGATATAATTTTTTAAAAAATTTAATTAACCTTTAAACATTCTACAAGGTTAGATTAAATAAAAAAATTTGCTTTTCGAACATGTTCAACATTCACAGAAACTGATTGCACCACTCATTCAAACAGTTATAACAATCACCCGCCTGTTTTTTTTTGTTACCCCGATTGATTCCTTTAACCAGTCAACGAATAGTTCTTGATCTTTTCGGAACACAAGAAATTTGCCCTAAGGGACCACATATGCCTGAAAGAAATAAAATTCCTTTATTATTATATATTATATAAATTTGAATAAGTTTCTATTTTGTAATCAAGTTTAAGGAAAAATGTACTATAATATCTATATCATGGCAAAAGTATTGAACATTTATGTCAATCAGTACAAGTAATAACAATACTTTGAAGTAGGGCTGCCATTTGATTCAGATGCAAAAGCAATATTGACCAATACATCAATATCGGATGCAAAATACATGTATTGATATTTTCTTGTATATAATTCACTTTTATACCAGTTTAAATGATTTTAGTAAAAGTACATGTTTTGTTCATACAAATTGAAAATATGTTGTCTCCTTTGCATTGATTTTTTTTCTATTTTTTTTTGTCATCACTGCTATAAAATGGCCATTATGTATGGATTTTGAAACCACAGTGATGTCAGAGGGTCTATGTAATTAGAAAACATCAAACATACTGTATGCAATGGACTTTTAATAACAATGTCATTTTATATCTAAAAGTGGGCAAAGTGTTAATTGATATTTTTTTCAGATCAAAATTATGTTTTTTGTTTCTTTTTCCTTGTCATAATTTTACAGTTATAAATGAAATATTTGTAAGGTGTTGAATGGGATAACCTTGGAATCTATAACAATCAATACAGTTGAGCTTTCAACATCAATTAAAGACAAAGAAAATTTTATTTAAGGGTCTTATTATCAAGAGATAAATGTACATTTGGGAAAAAAGATGTTCTACATGTATAGGGCATTCTTAATTGAAAATATATATGTGCATTTAGTAGCCATTACACTTTAGCTCTTTGTTTTTAAGCTTATATTGGCTTTGATCTGTGAAACAAACTCTTTTCTATACAGAACATTAAAGAATGTAAATAGAGGAGTAAAGATTCATCAATATATATGTATGGTTGCAATGCACTATGCCCTCCTGCCCTCAACGGATGCATCGATAAAAAAAAGTAAATGGCAATACATAATAACATTAATTACATATTTTCATGTTGACTGTTTCATAAAACAAAACAAAAAATACAATATTGAGTAAAATTATACATTGACCGACTTATGATTCAAAACAATGTGGGAAGTTTTTTTCTTTTATTCAATAGGGGGGCCTAAAAAAGATTAACTTTCAAAGGATACACAAAATGAAATTTCAGCTACTATTCAGTATTGATTTAAAATTAAAAAATTTCATTGGCTATTCAAGTAAGTCCAAACAAGAGAATAGGTTTAAAAAACTCCGCCAAAAACAAAAGAGCTTGTCACTTTATCAAATTTTCCATCGCTGTACAACATTTTTTATACATCATCATGCGTAAATATATATATATTATAAATGTATAAAATAAAATTTATTGCTTTCGCCAAGAGATGGTACCTTTCAAAAGATGATATCTAGGGGCTGAAAATTGACTTTTGTAACGATTAATCTAAAGAAGAAACAAGAGCTGTCAGAAGGACAGCGCGCTCGACTTTTTTAGTGCTTGCCTATAAAACAAAACTTTGACAGTTAAGGGCACACAAGACTTTAACTAGGAATTTCTAAGTACAAATCAAGAAACATTTTCACAGAGTTATCTTCTCTTGCTTACAGATAGGTCTCATGATGGCACATAAGAACTCCAACTTCCAAAGTAATATCTCAAATGGTTAGGTCAACAAGTGGACAAGAATGAAAAATTTTAACTGAGTTTCTAAGTCAAAAAGGGCCATAATTCAAATAAAATCCTTAACAGAACTTACCTTCTCCTGCCCATGTTTTGGGACCATGATGGTAAACAAGTATTCCAACTTTCAATTTAATATCTCAACCAGTTCAGTCAAAAAGTTGACTGGTACAAAAAACTTAACCAAGATTCTAAGTCGATAAAAGGCCTTAATTTTTAAAACAAATCCCTGACAGAGTTACCTTCTCTTTGCGTACAGATGGGGGTAATGATGTGAAATAGCATTAAAAGTTTCAAAGCAATATCTCAAAGGGTTAAGGCAATAAGTGGATTTTACCCATATTCAATGTATTTTCTAAGTCAAAAAGGGGCATAATTCTGTCAAAAACCTTGACAGAGTTATGTCCTCTTGTCTGTTGATGAAGGTCGTGATGGTAAACAAGTATGGTCAGTTTCAAAGCAATACCTCCAATGGTTTTGAAATAAAGTGAGGTGGTACAAAAAACTTAACCAAGCTCAATACACTTTCTAAGTCAAAAAAGGGCCATAATTCTGTCAAAAACCTTGACAGAGTTATGTACTCTTGTCTGTAGATGGAGGTTATGATGGTGAACAAGTATGGTAAGTTTCAAAGCCATACTTGTAATACTTCTGAAATAAAGTGGGGTGGTACGAAAAACTTAACCAAGGTGTGACGCCAACGCCGACGCTAACGCCGACGCCGGGGCGAGTAGGATAGCTCCCCTTTTCATAGAAAAGTCGAGCTAAAAACTTACTTGTTCAAACCCTAATTCTTTTAGCTTCCCTCCTAACACTTCCCCAATGCCAGCTAAATCTGTCACAGGTTTTTCACCCATTGGCTCAGATACAAAATTTTTATGTTTTGCTGATGTACTGGACATATTTATGCCTTTTTTTGTAGTTCTAATAGACTTTGTCCTGAAATTATAATCAATTTTAATAATAATAATAAAAAGTTAATGAGAACCATAAGCACTCTGTTTGACTGTGAAACCGTCTCAATTCTGTTACAAACAAAATAATAAATCCAATAATAAAAAAATCACGTTTGTGAATTGTCCAATATACTAGTCATTACGGGCTTGTTACTGGTTAGCTGATATTAAAATTAACAGTACTGGTGGCTAGATAACTCCGACACCAAATCTCATATTTCTGCAATATCTTCCGTATCTTTGTGAATATTTCAAACATTGAACCACTTAAACAAAGTTTGTTGTAAAGATGCACTACAAAAATTATTTATGGAAACGGAAACTGAATGCGGTATCATGGTCTTTTTACCATACAACAGTAGATAGTCTCAAAGTAAAAATTTGCTTGAAAATTAGCATTGTTATTTACTTTTACAATTTATATGTTTTATCTACTTCTTGTTGATATATTAACAGGTCTTTTTCCTCTATTTTGGGAAAATGCCACATGGCAAATTTGGGAAATTTGAGCCGTAAAATTGTCCAATTTGGGAAAAAAGGTTATTGTAAAATTTGCCAATTTGGGAAAATATGCTAGCATTCAAGGTGTTACAATTGCTTAAACAAGGCCATCCTTAAAAAATGTATGTTTGCAGTAACGCGACCAACTCACATATTTTGCCCCTACTCTTTTTGCCCTGGTCTGGATAAAAAGAATTTTTTTTTGGTCTCAGAAAACTATGCCTTTTGCTTTGTTTTCGTTCTTTTAACCTTTTACCCCATGAGCATATTGCGAAAAATGGCCGTTTTCATTGAAAAGCCTCCTGTAACAAGTTCAAACTGCTATGAAACTGTGAAAAATGCTTCAATACTAATGAACTTGGCACAAATGTTGACTACACCATAGGCCCCCGTAACATCATGCTCAATGGTAAATTTCGCTGTTTACCACATGGCAACGGCGGGACGTCTCAAAATTTGCCAAAAATCACTATTTTGCAATTGTTTTTTTCCATCAAAACTGATTTCAAAGTGCTGCAACTTCTCAATGAATTGAGATAGAGTAAAAGGCTTTTTTCGCCAAGAAAATTGTGAACATGTGACAGGCTAAAAATGGCCTCAGGTCGATCTTAGGGTAACTAGTAACCGACGCTGAAAAGCCTTTTACTCTATCTCAATTCATTGAGAAGTTGCAGCACTTTGAAATCAGTTTGTGATGGAAAAAAAACAATGCAAAATAGTTGATTTTTGGCAAAATTTTGAGACGTCCCCCCAGTTGCCAATGGTAACAGGAAATTTACCATTGAGCATGATGTTACATAGGCTATGGTGTAGTCAACATTTGTGCCAAGTTTCATTAGTATTGAAGCATTTTTCAAAGTTTCATAGCAGTTTGAACTTGTTACTGGAGGCTTTTCAATGAAAACGGCCATTTTTAGCAATATGCTCATGGGGTAAAAGGTTAATTCACAAAACATGAATATATTTCGTAACGCTATTTCGTGACACCAAAATAGAAAATGCTGTACTTTTTCTTTCAAATGGCCGACTTCTAGATTGGGAATATTTCTTTTGGGATTGGGAAAAAAAAAACATAAGTTAATTTGGTTGGGGAATGGGGCCCATATTCGAACCCGTGGGATAGGGGAAAAAAGGCCTTATTAATAATTGTTTCAAAAATCTTTCCCAAGTCAGTGGCCTGTCTTCAAGATATTTCTAACTATCTTAAAGTAGTTTTAGTAAAAAGAACATTTTAAGGCAGTTTTAGTGAACAAAAAGTTGAGGTTATTTGAAAACACTTTAAATTTTTACCCAAGTTTATAATAATTTTTTTACTGTGTTCGGATTATTTATGCGTCAAGGTCAGTTATTACTCTTTCAACCAGTTTAGTTTGTGCCAAGAAGTACAAAAACTTTCTCAAAGCAACGTCATATTAATAGGACTAGGTTGTTGAAATTCAGTAAAGTATACGTGTTCACAAACAAATTACTTGCCCATAATTTTAACTCTGAAGGAAAAGGTTCAAGGAGATATGCTATCATTATTAAACAAATGAATATCATTGGAAAGTTTTTTTTCTTTTTGAAAGTGATATGAAAATTATATCTATTCTATGCATCAAACTTACTGTAACGTTATTCTGTACTCAAATCTATGCATCAAACTTACGTGTAACGTTATTCTGTACTCAAGATATTATATCAATCATTATAAGAGGGGTTGGCAGTACTCAAGAGTCAGAGAATTGATAGATAGATAAAAAGTATGAAGAAAAGCAAAATCAGGGATATTTTTCGCCTTATTTTATAGCCAATATTTCGGTCATATTCCCAATTGAAAATAGTATATCATTTTCTCAATCCACAGGAAAATATTTCCAATTAAAAGTTACAGAATAAAGATATTGAAAAACAAATTCTATAATCTTTGGGGCTTCTTCACTGTTATGGTGTTTAAATGTTTGCAGATGCCATCCTAGACTGTTATTCTTTGCATTCATTTAATCACTGCAAAATTTAAGTCATGCAATTTTTCTCAAATTTTAACAAAACATCGTTGAAATTCCCAATTCCATGGGTATATCCACAGGAAATTGACATTCTATAAGCAAATAATTAAATATAACGGCAAATGTACCCCTCTATACCGGTAGTAATAGAATGCTAAATGGACTCCATTTCGCGAAATGAACTTTTCGACTACGAAATGGACATTTGTCTCTTTAATGTTTAACTCTCGACAAAAATATATTTTGTCCCAGAATAAACGTTAAGTGAATAGAAAGATACCCTTTGTGACATGTCAGTTACACCATAATTTGTAAAGCAAATGCCCATTCCGTAAGCAAATACTCCATTTCGTGGCCGAAAACTCCATTTCGTAGAGGCCAGATTATTTTCAGAAATATGACTATAAAATAGGAAAATAGTAATTTTAACTGGTTCAATCTGTAGTTTTATGTCATATGTTAAACATAAATTAATAAAAATAATATTACTCATCATGGTTAAACAAACAAATGTCCATTTCGTAGGCGGTAAGTTCATTTCGCGAAATGGAGTCCATTTCGCATTCTATTACAACCCCCTCTATACTATAAATAAACGCAAGGAATGCAACGCCTTTTGCACACTCTATACACATTTTATCTAAATCTAATTACACACGTGGAAAATCAATGTCAACAAACTAGTTTAGCAATTTTGATACACAATACAAAATTATTCCTTTTACAACCACTGATATTTTAAATCAAAGCATTGTTTAATAGCGAGCTCGACGAGCTGGCCCAAAGGGCCTGCTCGCAAAGCGAGCTTTACGGTAACGCGAGTACCTGCTAAGTGATGGTTTTGAAAACTTTCGTCCAAAGTACCGAATTGGACACATCGCAACCTTTCGAATTTAAAGATAACGATAAAAACTGAGGAATTCTGACTGAAAACGGATGTATAGACTGGTCACCCGTGCACGTCTATGGGAACAATAATTGGACAGAGAACCAGAATAACGGAAGCTGTGTATCAAAAATGAAAACCGAAGGCGCCATTTTGTTTGAAATCTGATAAATAAAAACAATTTTTTTGTCGAATTTTGTTGTGAAAACTATCTAGAATGAAAGAAATTGGTCTAACTAAGAAAATGAATCCGAACACCAATATCTTTTATTCAGTCGTTAACGCTGTACAGACGTTTAAAGTATTGTTTACATGACGTCACAATGTAGCGCCAAACAGCACGTGCAAAACTAATAAATCAAGTACGCTATTTTTATGTCGCAAACGCTTTAAGTTTTACATTAATTTCACTTTAAATAATCTTTATTTCGCTTGATAAATTATAGAGTGAAATAAAATAAACAAAGTTTTATCAACATTTTCAAAACTCGTTATTCATTTCACAACAGGGGCGGAGCCATATTTAACACAGTACGTGTGACGGTACACGCACTCGTTACTGCATTTGAAATAAAAATGAGCGATTATTTCATACTATTTCACGTAAAAAGTACATCGAGCTCGCTTTGAGGCTTTGCCTTTTCATATTAATAAATTGGCAATATTTACCAGGTCTAGGATTTCATTATATTTACGGACAGTCTGTAAATTTTTGGACAATCCATAATTTTACAGATTTTCTTATCTGTAAATTTACAGACATTAAGTAAGAAAATAGTAGAAGTTGCACTGATATTTAAAACCGCAGGTTAAAATGAATAAGGTAAGGTATTATATGATTAAATGTAACAGTTTGCTAAGATTCAGAACAGTTTGATGACTTTCAATTTTCACGTTTAACAAAAATTTCAAAATCATCATACAAAGATGAAACTCACCCCATTACCTTTGTAAATATAAACAATCAATAAAACAACTTGTTTTTAGCTGCGGATTTTATTGTAAAACTAAAAACAGCAAATTTCACATTGAATATCTGTAAATTTATGGATTGAAAAATCTTTAAATTTCTAGACTGTCTATAAATTTACGGACAGTCCATAAATATCATGAAATCCTAGACCTGTTTACTCAAATGTCAGCAAAATATTTTGTCTGGCACTCTGTCTTCAGCGAACATGTTTTATAGTATTGTTAGAACTGTTCCGCACAACATCAAAATACTTACAAAATAATAGATCTAGCGACATTTTTAATTATTTATGTTATGGAAGCAGGAACTAGTTCAAACCGAAACTACGACGCCGAAAGTGGGAAATCATCAAGATGTTTGACAATATTTCGCGTAAAAGAGGTGAAAATATAAATAGACACTGTACAAAACAATCATTTTTAATAATCATTCATAATTTCATAATCATTTTATACCTATTTCCTTTTTATTCTGTAAATCTAACTTCTTTCACAACTTAATGAAAATTTGCGCGGTTATTTTTTTTTGTGAGCGCCGGGAGTTGTTAAATTCTGTTATCCCGTTCCCTAAATATTTTTCGTACAAAGAAGATTCGACCCAGCTAACTTACCAGAGAATTTCTGTCTAGTTTACTTATACATGTATAATTCAGTCATAAGTCACTTTTAAATATGAAATTTAAAACAAATCATTGCTGATATTTTACAATCTGTGTAAACATATATGAAATTAAATATTTTAGCCCATTTTTAAAAATCAACATTTTTGTCCAAATCTGAAATTTACAGTTTGAACAGTTTATTGAAAATGCTGGGCCTCATAGAGGCATCAGTCACATATACAATAATATATACATATAGTATGACATATAAAGAGATATCCACGAAATATGCTGATGTATTACATGGCAAATATAAATCAAAAATGAAAGTGTTACATTATGAAAATAAGCTTAGTTATCAGTTACTTAAATGCTGAAATAATTTTTTTACAGAATACTGCAAGTTTTAACAATATACTCCTATCTGTGCTATTCATTAACATAGAAAACTTGATTGAATTAACATTAGTACTATGCTCTCTAGTAATATATTTTTTTCTATCAGTATTAAAGAATTGACAATTAAAAAGTAATGGTATTCATCACCAAGTGAGCTAGTATTGCATAGGTTACACACTCTTAATTCTCTTGGTATATTACAAAATCTACCAGACTCAATAGGCAATTTATTTATGGTTCATACATCTAAAACGCAATAGTACCAAAGCTAAATGAGATGGTAAAATATCTAAAAACTTTTCAAATCTGAATTCACTTTTGTACATTCTATAATTCAGACATTTACTGGATTCTGACATTTCACTATGCCAATTTTGAATGAACTGATCTTTCAGTCCATTTTTAACAATTTTCTTAAACAATGGAAGAGTAGTGGCAACATTATTAATCCAAAAATTTGATAAACCCAGTGAATCTAGTAATTTACAAACACTATTCATCCATGGGAGTTTCAACACATTTCTACAATACAAAGAGTGTGACATATCATACAATATATGGCTTATTGATTCCTGTTTGCTACTTAAAATCTTATTCCAAAAGCACAAAACTCTATTTTTTATATGAATAGATAAAGGTAATATCCCTAAATCTCCATAAAGCATACAATTTGGAGTACTTTGTTTCAAATTTAATATGAGTTTTTAAAATTTTAATTGAAATCTATCAATGATATTCACATTTTCAATTCCCCACACTTCGCTACCATATAACAATATAGGTGCTACCATGCTATCAAATAAATGAATTTGCATACTGATAGGCAAATCAAATTTTCTAGCCTTAACTATTATTGAAAACATAGCCTTCCTTGCCTGTTCTAATAAATGATTCTTTGTTTTAGCAAATTTACCATTATAAGAGAACTTAACACCCAGATATGAAAAATCATCAACAATTTCTAGCAAATTACCTTCAAAACTAAAGGCTGGAATATTACATAAACCTCTTTTACTTTTACAAAAAACAACAATTTTAGTTTTACTAGGATTAACTTGTAAATACCATAATTGACAATAATTTGACATTGCATTTAGTGCTTTTTGCAGTTCTTCAGCAGATTCAGCAAATATGACAGTGTCATCAGCATATAAAAGAATATACAATTTAAAATACATTTCAACATCAGAATCACTCAGGGTATCATTTACAATGTTTGATAGTAGATCCAGACCATTAAAATGTTGTGACAGGAAATAGTTTAAATCATTTAAAAATAAAGAAAACAATATGGGAGATAAATTTTCACGCCAAAAAATCCGACATATGACTAAAAGAATTAATTTTAACACAAGATTTAGCTTGTAAATACATGTTATAAATGATCTTTATACATTTACCATCAACATTATTGCTAATTAATTTCTGCCAAAGTGCAGTTCTATTTATGCTATCAAAAGCCTTTCTATAATCAATAAAAGAACAATATAACTTTTTACCTTTAGACAGATATAAATCAATCAAAGTTTTCAGAGAAAATATATGATCAGTAGTGCTATACTTTTTCCTAAATCCAGCTTGTTCTTCACAGAGAATATTATTACTTTCTAAAAAATTATTGAGTCTAGAGTTAAGAACATTTGTGAAAAGTTTCCCAAAACAACTAAGTATAGTAATTCCCCTATAATTATCTGGATCGTCTATGTTACCCTTGTTTTTGTATATTGGTAAAATAATCCCTTTACTCCAAACTTCAGGAAAAATTCCAGAATCTAAAATAATATTAAACAAATAACAAAAACACATCAAACATGCTGTCGGGTACATTCTTCAGATATTCATTCAATACATGATCAAAGGAAGATGATGCTTTATTGTTTTTCAGTGAAATAATAGCTTTACGTATTTCTAATACAGTAAATGGTTTATCTAAATCAGAGTTATTTGACGAGACATTAGTTATATCAAAGTCATCAATGTCAACTTGAGTGTCAACCTCATTCAATTTACTAAAATGATCAAAAAAAAGCCTCAGTTGTTACTTTGTTAATAACTTCCTTCCGATCACCTGAATATTTGTTCAATAGACTCCAATAAGATCTAGGATCTTTATTTTTTAAACCTTTAATTTTATCAACAATGCTTTTCTGATATGCTCTAAACTTTTTCTTAACTTCTTTTTTATACTGTCGGCTACTACAAACTAAACTATCTTTATTTTCTGCAGTAGGGTTCCTGCTATACATTGTTTTTATAATTCATATATTGAATACGAGCATTTTTACAATCACTATCAAACCAAATTTTATTGTTTTTCTTAGACTTCCTATGATTAACATTTTTCTTTATAAGATCACAACTTACAGCTGCATCGGTTAAAATACTAGACACTTTACCGGTCAAATGATTAACAACATTTACATCAAAATGACGATTTTCACAAACCTCTTTAAGCTCATCCAATAAATTTGATACAGCTGTGCTATCGAACTTATGCTTATAACTAGCACTTAAATTAGAACTCCACACAGGCCTATAACAATCTTTAGATTTGATACTTGCATCCATAGCATTACAATCTGGTATAATGTTCAAGTTAAAACAAAATTCCAATGCACAATGCACATCAGATAAAATTGGATCAAATTGCAAAACATTAAAATATGTTATACAAGGGAACAAAATTCCTGACATAAGCAAATAATCAATCAAGCTACCATTACCTTTATTACATGTGTTTCTACCAATATATGCATCATTACCACATCTACCATTACCAATAAAGATATTTGCAGATTTACACAACTGAATAAGTCTCTGGCCATAATTATTACATTTGCTGTCACAAGAAAAACGTTCGACAGGGAAACCAAGTTCATCAAGGTTATTCATAACTATATGTTGCATGGTAATATCATCAAAATTTTCATTAATTGCATACTTATCAAAGTCAACAAAATCACTCAAGGAACCAGTTCTTGCATTGAAATCACCAAAAATACAGAATAAACAGTTTGCAAATTTGATTTTCAAATCAATAATACACAAGAGCAAGTATATCGAGCTATAAAGTCTCTCTTTTACAAATCAAACCTAACAAAAGTTTGCTTTCACATCGCTTCAGCATTTAAGATGGCGTCCAATATGACCGCCGATTTTATGCAAAACGGGTATATATCTTATTTTATGGTAAATTTTACAGCAAAGAGTGTGCTGTTTTCGATAAGGAAGTGGCTGGCCCGTACGGCTAGCCAAAAGTTCTAGCCGTACGTGAGTCACGTACGACTAGCAGCCGTACGTGAGTCTCGTACGACTAGCCAGGACATTTCTTTCCTTCTTTCCCTCTGATCATTATTTATTCGATCCATGTGCTTGATTAACAAAAACGATTTGATAATTCATCTTTCATACAAATAAAACAACAAATCATATGCATGAAAATCATGTACCTTATAACGAATAACATGCAACGTTGACACTTTTATCAAAATAGATTATAAAAGGCTTGTTCGTATTCATTTTTTACAAAATGGCGGAGCATCTTTATTAAAGTGAATA